GGTCGTGAAAAATCGTCCACTGCATTCTGCTGTGAAACGAAAAGCCGCACGAAGGTGAGGCTTCTGAAAAGAGCCGCGTGGGAACATTTCTCCTGTTTTGCCCACAAGCTCTAGGTGCTCATCGTCAAAGAGCATCTTCAGTTTCCCGCACACAAACTCACTCCGCTCTTGTCGCTGAGACTTTAAAAAAACTCGCCGGGCAGCCATCTTCGATGGATCAAATATATATATATATATATATATATATATATTATAATTGCATGGATGCGTATATAGTATATTATCTAATATATGCACGAGCCAAAAAACTCTGCGAAAAAACACACAGGATGCATGCGTGCGACATGCATGCAGCTCGATCCCTCAAATCCCAAACCCTGCATGCATGCATGCGTGCTGGGGGCGGGGAGCACCTTCCGTATCCTCGCGTCTCGTGTAGCTTCTTTTCATCGCTCACCTGGGACCAGCGTAACTGCATGTTGGAATTAAATCGGTCAAGGTCCTGATAATGCCTAGAATACTTGGACTCGCAGGCATTTTTGAGCGAGCACAAATGATCCGATAGATCCAGGGCGGCCCTCGAGATCTTCTTGAAGATCAGGAGCCGGTGGCCACCCAAGACTCTTAACCGGCAGCCAGTACGTCACCAGCCGCAAAATGCATTGCAATCGAATTAAGGTGCATGCATGCTCCTGGCAGTCACAGCCTAGCTCATGGAGTCCGGGATCTCTTGCGCTTTCGGGGCGATGATGCCGGGGATGTAGCAGCCATGGGCTGGTCTTCATTCTGCTGCGTCCTGGCTTTCTCTTCTAGCCATTCTTTGCTAGCCTTGAACCACTTCCACCACCAAACATCGCCTGTCTTCTTCCACGCCCACCGCCATTCCCACGATACTGCGGGCGAGCGGCTCCGATCCGTCCCATCCATTTTAACTATGGCTTTGGTCCTAGCTGCACCTGGCGCCAAATGGCTATAGCAGTCGTGGACATTGCAGATTCAAAACCATGCAACTGAAACTGCAGCCGGTCCATGCATGCATTATAACAAAACGCATCTGAGGCCAGAGCCGTCATGAGTGCATTGCGAAAAGACATGAATGCCGTCATGAGTGCCACTGTAAAAAAATTATACCGTTTCAGGTTTCGGGCTGCTACTTCATGCGTGCTGTTTAAACGATCGAATTCGAGCCGAAATTCTACGGTACGTCGCGTCTGTGCATCTCACGAGCAGCAGAATAACTGACGTGCATGCATGCCAGTCCGTCGAAATCCGAGACGATCGCCAAAAAACATCTGTCGAAATGTCGAAACGGAAACAAACGAAAATGATATATATATATATATATATATATATATATATTGGTTCCGCCTTTTAGCCAAAATGCGCTCTATAAGTGCGCCCCTTAAGTGCGCCCCTTGACGTCGACCGACCTTTCTTGGTACAGCCGCTGCTACAACGGCACCTGCTGCCACAGCTGCAGCCGCTACCGTGGACCCCACGCCGGCAGAGTCAGCCGCTAGGAGGTTCATGGAAGTCGGGCCACGGGCCGCTAGCCCCTCGGGGAAGGCCCAGCCGGCCCAGCCGGCCGCTACAATCAATGTGTTCGACTACACGTGGAACACGCTATTCGAGGATCCGGACCGCTACCTCGAGCTGCTACGCCGCGAGCTCCAGCAGGACCGCGCTATTGAGCAGGCGCCAACGCTCTGGCCGCTAGGTTCCTGGGACCAACGCTATGAGAAGGGGAAGGGCAAGGGGCCCAACCCCCGCTATGGCAAAGGAGATGATGGCACGCTAATGAAGAGTGCTATCCACCACGGGGAGCATCTCTACACGCTAGGCCGGGAGGATGTGGCACTGATGTGCCGCTACGTCCACCCGCCCGCTAACACCCCCCAGGGGGAGAGAGCTAGCGAGCTGCTAGCCATGCTATTGCCAAGCTGCTATACCCAGTACCAGGCTGGGCGCTGCCGCTGCTCCCTGGGCCACTGGGACGCTAACGCCTGTATTTTCAGGTGCGCTACGACCTGCGAGGTCTGTTCGCTAAGAGCCTGCAACAGGCGTATGTGGTTTAAGTGTGACGACCACGCTAGTCACTGTTGTGACGGGTGCAAAAAGTGGAGCCGCGGGGAGGACTGGGGCGGCCGCTAAAGGCGGGCCCTGCCTCGCTACAGGCCCCGGCCTCGCTACCTGCGCCCGCTACTTTTGATTTGCACGCGGCTACCTTTGCAGTGCCCTCTGCTGCCGACCGCTAGCCGCAGCAAAACTCAGGGTTGTGCTCCGCTATGGTTGCCTGTGGCACGCTACAGTCCATGCTACACAGAAGAGCTAGAGTGAGAGTGTCGAGAGTTGCGGGGGAGGGGCACCGGGCCGGGAGTCGATGGGGCTGCTAGGGCCGTCTGCTGCTGCAGCGCCTTCTCAGCGAAAGCTATCGACTGGCACTCCCCACATACACTCTCACGCTAGGAGCTTTTCCCCAATGTGCTAGCAGGAAGGTTTTCCATTTTGCATATTTTCCTAGGGTGGCGTAGGGCCCATCGTGCCTGCTACCATGGCAGAGGCTCTGGCAAAGAAGCTAGCCCTTGGAAGCAGTGAGCTTCGCTTCCTGCTAGTGCAGCACAAAGTCTCGGATGCTATTCAATCCGAACTGTTTTCGAACGGTATCGATACCGTTGCTAAGTTCGCCGCCTCGGCGACTGATGAGGCGGACCTCAAGAAGATGCTAAAGGACAGCTTCGCGATCGAGCCGTCCACCTCGCTCGCGGGGGTCACCATCGCATGGAGGACCGCTAATTCCCGCACCGAGCGGCAAGCAGAGGCGGAAGCTACGAGCGAGGTCCGGGATTGGGCGAAGCCCATCCCAGCTACCGACTATATGGCCATGCGCCAAGCCTTCACCGCTAAGTTTGGGGACCTGGAAGACAAGCAGACCCCCGCTAAGGAGTACATCGAGAAGAAGCTAGCCGAGCTCGAATCCGGCGAGTTCCGCGCCGAGCCGCTAACCGAGGTCATCAGCCGGGACGAGTGGGACCCCGACACGCTACTGCCCGTCTGGAACGGCAACGGCACGCTATCCATGAAGAAGGGGGGAGCTCGGGCATCCACCCCCTCGGGGCCGGAGCAGCTACGCCTGCGGCTCATGGTCCTCCAGAACACGCTAATCATGATCCAGCTTCGGCATCCCAACCGGGAGGAGCTACAGGATGTTACCATGGCTCTCTTCGAGCGCTACAAGGACTACCTCCTTGGAGACTACTGCTACGGTCTCCGGTCCAGTGCCGACTCGGGGTCGCTAGTGCCCCCGTGGCCCTTGGTGCTCAGCTACGAGCACGCTATCCGAAAGCACGCCTACAAGGTCATGGCGACAGCTGGCTACGCCTTTGGTGCTGCGCTAGTCCATGCTTACAAGGACGCTAGTGTCAAGGAGCGGCACTTCACGACGCCGCTAGCCCTCCATGCTAAGCGGCCGCAGCCCTGGACCTGGACCGAGGAGCGTCCCGCTAAGACCCCCAAGGGGAAGGGCAAGGGCAAAGACGGCCCCCCCAAGGGGGGCAAAGCTAAGAAGCGATTGGGCGCCGACCGCACCCCCCAAGGGAAGCCCATTTGCTTCCGCTACAACGCTAAGGGGTGCAAGAATGGCAGCAAGTGCCACTTTGAGCACGTCTGCTCGCTATGCTTCGGCAAGCACCCCGCTACGCAGTGCCCCACCAAGAAGACGGAGGCCGCTAAGGAGGACAAGCCCTCCAACTGACCCGCTACTGTGGCTGCGCCCTCAGTGCCTGTGGCCCCCCCGGAGGGGGATGCTACGCCAGCTCCACAGGATGCTACGCCGGCAAAGCCGGCCGCTACGCCTGCAAAGCCGCTACGGGTGCTCTACCTTTTCTCTGGTTCCTCGCGCAGGCTCGATGTGGCGCAGTGTTTGCACCAGCTAGCAGCAGAGCTCGAGAGAGATGTGCGGGTCGAGTGCGTCGATCTTCTGCGGCACGCTAAATATGATCTGAGTCAGCCCAAGATTCGGCAGAGCTACCTGGACCGGATCGCTAACAAGGAGTTCGACGCGGTGGTGCTCTCCCCGCCTTGCGCTAGCTTCTCCAGAGCGCCCTGGGCTAATTTTGCAGGGCCCCGCCCAGTGCGAAGCTACCAATTTCCCCGAGGTCTGGAGACGCTAACCCCTGCAGAGAGGGACCGCGCTATCTTGGGCAACATCTTCGCAGACTTCAGCTTCGAGGTCGCTAGCCTCGTGGCAGACGGCGCGGCTACCTTCCTGGCAATGGAGCAGCCAGAAGACCTTGGAGCCCTCGCTAAGGGCCCGCACCAGGGAACACGGCCGGCCTCCATGTGGCAATGGCCGCCGCTAGCCGACCTTCTGCAAAAGGGGCTACTTAAAGGGCCGGTGTGGTTAGTAAATGAATAACAGACTTGATATATTTACCTATCTCTTGTATGTTAAGTTATAAATGAAGTAAGTCTGGTTATAAGTTCAGCAACTATGCTATGTGGAGAGGTATAACTTACTAAGTGTTGAGGACAAGATAGTAAGTAGTGTAAGTGAATAAGAGACTTATATATGTTATAGGTGTGAGTTAATAAGTGACTTACAGTAACTCAGGTAAGTAACTTAGGTGACTTAGGTATTCGTTTGTAAGTCAGATAATAAGTTGAATAAGTTGACATGGTCTCTGGCCAGGAGATGATGGGAAGGATGTTTTTCTGCACGTCCAATGAAGTTGGAAGCTTTCTTTGCATGAAGTTGGAAGCTTTCTTTGCATGTGAGAAAAATGATGCAAACCTTTCTTGCTGTGCTCAGAGCATGCATGCATATGAGAAAATGATGTAAACCTTTCTTGCTGTGCTCAGAGCAATGCATGCAGGCAGGCATGCTTAAGACGCTTTGCAGGGCCACCGGCTCGCAAGCAGTGTATGCATGCTGTTGCTCAAGCTGAGTTTTGAGTTTGCGGGATCCTTGCAGCCTTGCTTCGGTGATCTTCGGTGTCATCGACATGTCCCTTTCGCACGAAGTGAAGGTGCAGCTGCAGTCCTTTCTGGAGGAAGCTGCCGACGGAGAGAAAATGGTTAAAGTGGTTGAAGCCACCTTGGACTTGCTCAGGAAGAACCACCTGCTGTCGACCATGAAGCTGGAGCCCAAGCTGGTGGGGGTTCACCCCAGTAACCGAGACGGTTACGGGGTGAACCCCCAGGACGTGCTGGACCTTGTGGACAGCATCATCGATGTGGGGTTCGTGAAAGGCCGAGTGCATGCCGTAGGCGTGGAAGTTGAAAGCCAGCACGTGAGGGACTGGAACTCCAATCTCTTCGCTTCGGCCAACGGGGGCCTCGGCTCCATGGAGCCGGATCTCCTCAAGGTGACCAGCATCTGCGGCTCTCACACCAACTCGGCCTTGCGACTTTTTCGCGATGCCGTGCCACACTCCAACGAGCTCGTGTGCACCGGGGGGCGATTGAGCATGGAGATGCTGAAAAATCGCGATCCTGCTTTCCACGAAGCCGCGACCGAAGGCTTGTCGTGGGATGTAATCTCTGCAGCCGTCGCCCGCGAGGTGCCCGAAATCCTCGAGCTGGTCTCCAGGTCGGGCAACACCTCCCTGCAGAGGGGGGAGCATGAACTCCAAGTCCTTCGCCGAATTCATGGCCTCTACTGTAAGATGCAGGCTTCGGGCCAGACCCCCTCGTTTGCTTCTCTGAAGAAGCAGATCTTGGCTTCGAAACCGAAGTGCGGGGTATCCGTCCCTCACATGTACTCCTACTGCCTCAAGTGCAGCGGGGGCCAAGAGGCCGTACATCTCAAAGAAACGGAGCTCTTTGTGCGAGCATGCTGCCCTTCCTCAAGACAGCTGGGGCCGGATCTGTGGCAGGCTTTGTCCATGGAGATCAAGGGGCATGGCTCCGAGGCCGTTGCTTGCTTTCGCAACGGCCTGGTCAAGTCGGCATATGTGCGGCAAAACGTCTCTGTGGGGGACTGCCGGAAGCTCGCTGCGAACTTCACGAAGGTGAAAGAAGCAGACGAGATCATGTTGGCTGTGCGGGCCATGCTAACAGAGCAACTCGGGGAGTGGAAGGATGCCGGCCTGGTGAAGGCCCTTGCAACCATGGACATGTGCATGTGCAGCATGGTCCTTGGCTTGAAGCAGAAGGGCGAGAAGGACTACAGGACCTTGCAGGCCGTGGCCCATGATTTCTGCCTTGTGGCCCAGGAGCTCACTGGGAGGACCCTTCCCTTGAAATGGCAAGGCTTCGCCGAGGCAACAGCAGCACCTGCAGCGGCAAAGGCATCGTCCTCGAGTGCACCGGTGCTGCTTGAGTTGGATGAGCATGGTGCAATCAAGAATCCGGTGGGTTTGCTGGAATCCCGAGGCTATGCATTGGGCAGCAATGTGAGGAGGCGAGCTGACAAGACGACTGGCAAGATCCAAGATGTGAAAGGCGGCCTTGTGTACATCCAGTTGGACTCCGGCGACGTCGCGAAGGAATCCATTGACAAGATTCTGGGCAACGAGTGGGCCGTCTTCACCCCCAAAAGTGAGGCAGAGGTACTGGAAGATTTGAGCATCTACAGCCCTTCAACGAATGTTGAGCTCCAGGCCTTCATGCTCCAGGCAGAGATCGCGAGGCAGCTTCAGAAACTTTTTGATGAACAGTCCTCTGGCATCGACAAGCTTGCCTTGCAAACGAAGCCCCAGAAGCAGCTTCAGGCCTCGCAGGACATCCCCAAGGGAAAGGTGACATTGGTGCCATTGACGAGCAAGATCCTCCACAAGGGCTCCAGCCAAGCGAGCTGGTTCGAGGCGACGACGGACTGGACGATGGATGCGAGGAAGTTCTACCTGAGCTCCTCTTGTGTGCTGCCCAAGGAAGATGATGACAAGATCAAGCCTCTCATAGTCCCGTTTTTCTTCGTGAACTACACAGAGGACGAGGACGAGGCCAACGTGAAGTTGCAGCCCATGCAAGCAGAAAAGTCTTCCTCCATCAAGATCCCCGTCTTCAAAAGCACCAAGAAGATTGCTGCCGGGGAGGTCGTTTTGTGCTATAAGGCCAAGGACCTTAAAGCTCCACCCCTCCACCTCTCCCCCAGTGCGGCGAAGCGATCGTCGTCCGGCGGAGTGGCAGTTGCAGCGAAGAAGAAAGCGAAGAAGTGAGAGGCATGTGATTTCTATATATGCATCATGTGCACATGTGGATGCCAGCGGTTTTGCTTTCGCTTGGCATTGGAACGAAGGCCCACCCGGGCACAGCCTCATATGGCAACCTGACAGCATGATCAGGCGCTTTTCAGGCTGCAGGGTGGCGCGATCGGCATAAGCAGAGGTCCAGCTGCATTGGTTCACAGAAATTGCGGTGCTTGAGCATGTTTGTTTTCTCTTGACTTTTGCATGCAAGCCTTGATTCAGTGCAGCATCGAATGCATGGTTGCAGCAGTGCATGCAGGTTTTGCACTTGAGTTGTGCTGGAGCCGCCTCAGCAGGGCAACTTTGCTCGCTTGGCAGGCTTTGCATCTCAAGGACAGACACAGTGAGAAGCTGTTGAGTCGCCATGGCAGAGGATCCAACTTTCGAAGTGGAGACTCGCAAGATCATCTTTTACGGCAAGCATGAGTGGTGCCCCACTCAGAAAATAGTCGAGGAGCGGACCTTTTTCTCCTTCACGAAGTGGTCTGCACAGCTGACTCGCATGATGACCGGCAAGCGACTTCAGCTTGGGGGTGGGCGGGCTGCAGAAAGTGGTTCCTTGAACGTGCCAGTGATCGGCAAGATCTTGGAAGCCCGGCAGTCGGCCTGCGACAAAGCCCTTGAGGAAGCTCTGAAAGTCGAGGATGGGTCGGGCGACGAGGATGAGAAGCCGAAGAAGAAAGCCAAGAAAACCATTCGAAGGTCATCGGCCAAGGACCTCCACCTCCTTCCTGAAATAGTGGACGTGTCGGTGGCTGAATTCCAGATGTCCTTGCTTTCGGAGGGGCTGTCGACTGGAACGATCTGGATGGAGCTCCGTCCCGAAAACCTCTCCTGGCTCAAGTCTTGTGTCGACAAGGAAGAGGCAAAGCCTCGTCAGAAGAAGGGGGAGGCCAAGCCGAAGCAGTGATGCCATCATGCTGTCCGGGAGGTTCAGAGAACCTTATACATGTGGCAAGTTTTGTGCAATCTGCCATGTTTCAAAAACACTTTTGCATGCACTATACATACGTGCTTGCAATGTACAATGATGACGATGGAAAGTTCATGGGCAGGGTGGGTTGTGAAACCTGCTGGCGAGCTTGCAGCCCTGCCTGCGGTGCGACACACGAGCTTGCAAGTCAGTCTCTGTGTGTGTCCGTGTGTGTGTGTGTGTGTGTGTGTGCAGTGTGTGTGTGTGTGTGTCTCTGCAGCAGTGGCAGGTTGCACCTTTCCGTTTGCAAGGTCATGCACTGCTTAAAGTGCACATGTGCGGCATATATTGCATGAGCTGTGATCATCAGCTGTTTTTCAGCTCAAGTTGCTTGCCTCCCACGGGAGGCTGGGTCCTTTTTTTGCCATGCTGGCTTTCGGCTTTCTGAATGGCCACATGCCCACGGCGGAGGAGGCCATGGAAAGAGTGATGCACGAGCTTGTTTTTGTGTTTCTGTGCTTGCAATGCAGGCGGACAGCTTCGAGACCTGCGGCCTCAACGAGCCGTTCACCTCGAAGGCCAAGGGCAAGTGGTACAACGACAAAGGCGGGTTTGCCCAGCCTTTTGCAGAGATACGGAGTTAACAGACAAAGCCATGCAGGAGCCGGGATCAGCTGGTCTACCACGATGGGGTGGAAGATCCTCGGGGCTGGAGGTGCCATGGGCTCTCATGGCGGGGTTTCGGGGTTGCAGGGCTGAGGGATTCTTGCATCAACTGGCAGGAGAGATCCTTTGGACCCACTCCGACAAGAAGCGGGTGGATGTGCCGACCAGTGGCTGGGTCTACTGGGACGGCACAGCCGCTGCGATCTGTGTCGAAGGCACATCTTGAGATGACATATAATAGTAAATATATCTATTTATATATATATATAAAGATATATATATATATATATGTATTTAGATATATGTGTCTTTACATGTATATATGTATAAATGTGTATATATACATATATATATACATATATATATATATACATATACACATATATGTATATGTATATATATATATAGATATATATATATATATAGATATATATATATATGTATAATGTATACCATATCATAAATCACTTTATAGAAGAACTGCAAATAGAATCTATATAGATCGACATAGATGAATATAAACCCTAAACCGAAACCCTACATAAAACAAAACCCTTATAAACCCCTGAAAAAAACCCTAAACCCAATATGAACCCTAAACCTACACATGCCTCTGGGCAGGACACGAGGACTCACCAGTCTATGAGACGGTGGAGGTGGACGATGAGGAGGAGGAGGAGGATGCAGGCCGTGCACGGTTTTCGCCTCTTGCCCTCCTTGCAAGTGTTGTGCAGTGCATTCGTTTTGAAGGCGGGAAAGCCGCCGTAGTCCTTAAGGCAAAGCCGAAGATCAAGGCCTGCAAGCGAGGTTCTGGAGTTTCTTATTGGTATATATGTGCCATATAGATATATCTCCTTTGGCAGGACCAGAAGAGACGGCCCATGGAGCCGGCAGATCCGCCGCCAAAGAAGATGAAGGCTGGAATTATAATTAAAAGGTTTGGCTTCAGGTTCCAATGTCAGCCTATCTATATACATATATAGATAGGCTGACATTGGATCTTAGATTCAATTAGATTAGGTTGCTTGGGTGAAATTAAATGGGTACACATTAGGTTATATAAAGATTATACATAAGTAGGTATGTAGCAGCTTAGAATTTAAAGCTTGTAGGTTAAGTTATATATAGTTTGGATTAGATTATATAAGACATAGATTCACAGATACACAGATATCTGTAGATCCTGTGTACATATATATATATATATATATATATATACATATATATATATACATATATATATATATACATATATATATACATATATATATATATATATATATATTGTAGATGTCTAGAGAGGATCGCAGGCAGGGCTTCTAGGTCGCCGGCAGGCTTCCTGTATAAATCTTAAATATTAAAAACCTCAAAAGCCCTGTATAGAAACCCCCTATACGGCTGGAATGCCTTCCTGTGCGCCAATTTGTGTGACTTCAGTACAGGAACAAAATGTTGAGTATAGGTGCACTTTGGCATGTCCGGGCGGGCGATACGGGGCACAGCTCAAAGGCTGGCGCTTTCTTATCGGAGAGGAAGACTTAGATAAGATGTTGGGTTTCTGGATAGAATATAGGTCGGGAGGCTGCCAGCATGCTCTGTCTCTGACATGATTATACATGTCTGAGAGAACACTACTGTCAGGGGCACGGCAAGATGGCCCAGGACGAGGCTCGGGTCCAATTCTTGAGCAAGCCCGTCCCAACAAATAAAAGTGATTGTGCAGGAGGACGAAGAGGATGGATGGGGCCAGGCCGGCATTTCTTCTTGACTTGGAAGCATGCAGGGTTCTGTGTGCCACGGTAGGACAAAAAGTGGAAAGGAAGCTCCAGTGCAGCAGGTGCACCGAAACCGATTCATTATGAAACCCCTGCCCTTGCAAGCCTTCTCTGTTCTTGATTATTTGGACAGGATGGAAGAAGCCCATGCCGAGCAAGGGCAGAGGCAGGTGTTTGGGGAGTCGAGGTCAGCCGAGATTATAGCTTTTATTCTGCCGACAACAGGCACTTTCGTGCGGCCTTCCAGCAAGGGCGGCCACTACGTGGCCCCCCACTACATCGATGAGAATGGGAAGGCCGGAAGCATTGCCACTGGGCCGGACCGTTCGTTCCAGCCTGGCAGGCTTGCCCTCCGGGTGGTGGTCGGACACGTGGCCGGACCCGTGGAGGAGCTGCTATCCGCTTGATCGAGGCGAAGCAGCAGGCCAAGGACAGCACCCAGCACTTGGAGGACACCCTTCTATAATCCCAACAAAGCATCGCCAACAACCCACCCCCCCACAAAACAAAGCATTTTGCCAGGACCTGCGAACCTCGGTCTCGACGATGCACCTCATGGCGAAAAGCATGGAGAGGTTGCAGAAGGAGTGCCGCCGTAGAGCACCATGGTTGTTTCTGGGTATTCCTCTGACAAGCCTGCTTCAGGACCGCCAGGGGTGAAAGTCCGGACGGTTCCGTCCTTGGCTGTGCCCGTGGGTTCGGTGCGGTTTTCCTGTCTGGCGGTCCCAGGTGCTGGGACAGCATCGACTGTGGTGGCTGTGCACAGAGGCTTCTGCCTTGGCTGACGAGTGTGGTGCAGTTGCAGTGGTTGTGTTGGTTGCTGGCCGTGGTTATCCTGACTCGATGCAGGTGCCGCCACAGCTTCCCGGAGCTCTGAAATTGGGGGCAACAGGTCCAATGGCATCCCTTCGGGTAGTTGGCCAGGTTTATGCATGAATAAACCTTCGGAGCTAAAAAGTAGCTAAGGTTTATCCATAAATAAATTTTGGGGGCTTTAAGGCCTTACTTCTATACCAGAAATATTCGCGGATAAACTTTTCTAGCTTCGAGGCTGCCGGGGTTTATTCATGCATAAACCTGGTGGTTTCTGCCACGTAGCTTGGCTGCTCTGCATTGATGCAACATAACACACTGGCCTTGTGATCTAGCTTCTGCTGAAGACACTTGTGTTGCTGCAGCCGGAATGCATAGACGTGTCCGACCTCCCAACTGCAGGGGCCAGGCTATCGTGCTAGGGTAACACACGAAGCTCTTAGGCACCTTCTGGGCTGCTGCATATACAGTCATACACAAGCTGTTAGGCACCTTCTGGGCTCCTGCATATACAGTCATACACATAGCCGTGCCCGGCCTCTGCAACTTGTTGCTTTCTGCAGCTGATGCTGCTGCCGACCAACCACACAAGTGATCGGGTGCCCTGGGCACGAAAACAAGTCCTGTGCGGATAGACTTCCGGTGCAGTGTGTCGGTGTGTCTGTGTGTGTGTGTGTGTGTGTGTGTCTGTGTTTGTCTCTCTGTCTCTGTGGTCTGTCAGCAGAATATACTATTATATATTATACTACATGACAATGCTATACTCCTACAGTATAGTATACAGAATATATTCTACATTGTAT